TATGAAGTGCGGAGCAACTTTAAGAGCTGAGCATGGGGGGTGGGGGTCACTGTTGACACCACCACAAGCGCCGCTTATGTCCACATATTAATCAAAAGTTTTGCGTGGAGCTTAATGGACAGACGAAGTTTATAGGTGGGACCGGGAGCCTAAATGCATTTACCGAAGCCGCTGTGTCACGGGCATATTTTTAGAGCCGAACGTCTCAGGGCAGCATGTTGCAGAAATTAAAAGCACGTGAATTAGTATGGAAGAGAGAGAACAACATGCCACTGTAATAAATTAAACACCAATATAATTTACCGAACTAAAGTAATTTAGATCTATTTGTCAGGCGAAACGTCGCTGTTTGATTTTTTTTTATTTCGCGGTATCTCTTTCTTTAACATTAGCCTAATGACAAATGACGTCACGCGCGCCTCGTACTTCGTGAGGTTGTTCTTAGTGTGGGATGAAACGGCGGGGTTGAGAAAAATTAGGCATTTCTTTTTTTTTAACAGTAGAATCTAATTTTTCTTACGTCATACTTTTCCCGATGAATTCCCTTTCCCCCAATTGTCACTAAAAGCAAAAATGATGATTTAATATAATATCGCAGTTCTACTATACCCGAACCCTTAATCACAATATCTGACGAAAACGAATATATTCTTCATCATTTAAAAAAAATATTTTACCCCGTCCCATATTTTGAGTCCAACGTCATTTAACAGGAATATGGACGACCTATAATTGACAAGTTCATCAGTACAAAAGGATTTAATAAATGTTGGACCTCCCAAAAGTTTTTGAGAGCTTGGAAGTACATACATACGTAACCTTCATTTCAATTGAAATTAAAGATAAAAATACAGCTATGTATATTAAACAACAAAATCAAACACAATATACATACGATTAGACATTTTTATCAAGGGAAACTACTCTAAATTTTATTTGGAAAGATGGCGGCTGTTTTTATCTACTAATATTATCTCAAACACCTTGTTTAAAGTTAGTTTCATGATATTTTTAATTGTTTTGGTCAGTGATTGTTATTTTAAATCAATTATCTGTTATATTTTATAAAATTGGACTTAGGTTATTTAAACAAATGGGGCCTATATTCATCAGTTACCTCTCACGCACATTACTACTGCAGCCGAATTGATTACGCTTACACGATAGATTACCCTTTCGATAGTATACTAGTACTAGGTTTAGTTTTAGTTTAAGAAAATTTTAGTCGATCAAAACAGTAACGACAGATAATAGAGTTAGGGTTAAGGTCAGACGTTGACTGAACATTGTCGTAATTAAAGTATATTTATTCGGAAGTAACCTTAATAGGGAGTAGCTAATCATTCTATCTCAATAGGGAGCATTCATTGTTTATATTTATTATTATATTGTTTCAATACCGAGTGTTGTAATCAGCTTGTCGTCCGTCATTTTCTCCATTTTTGACACTGACGGAATACCCTACCCTCTTTAGATCCCAATAACTAAAAAACTACGTAACTCAAGTCAAATCAATGCATACTGACAGATAGAGAAATTAAGGGGATAGGCTCCCGAAAAAAACAGGGAAAAAAACTTTTTAGTTAAAAAGCCTTTTACATTTATTTGTGTATGTATAAGTTAGGGTACTTAATGAAAAAATATTTGGATGTACCAGGGACTCTTCTGAAAATATGGTTGCCATGGAAACGGCGGCCATCTTGGAAAAAACTACCTTTTGTGGAGTTCTAAAATTTCCTAAAGTAACATATAAACCGCCCATATAATCATTGATCTTTATTGTACTAACATCAATAGAGTGAGCTGGCTAATTTTTGTAACCGAAACACAGCTAGACATATTTTTTTTTCAAATTTTCAAAAAAATATGTGGTGAAATTCCATTGAATTTAGCATTATTTATTATCTGAATAAAATAACATTAACTATTTAACGATAATCGAAAAAAACGTTTTTATGATGATTCTGGCTTTATGTGTACCCTTCATAGGGTTTATATTGAAAGAAAATTTAATTATGTAGGCGCCATAAAGCAACCTACATTTTATAATGATCAATATACTCATATTTCGTCATATCAAAGTAAAGCTGATGTATTCCAAAATGTTCAGGGACCTTTTACCGGTATTTTGAAAAATGAAGACTCTCTCTCTCTCTCTCTCTCTCTCTCTCTCTCTCTCTATATATATATATATATATATATATATATATATATATATATATATATATAATATAGCCTATATACAGGGGCGGATTAAGCTTCAACGGGGCCCCTGGCTGAAACTTTTTCCGGGCCCCCCCCCTCAACTATATATATATATATATATATATATATATATATATATATATATATATATATATATATATATATATATATATATATATACATGTAGTTTATATAATGACATGTCACGAGGCCTTCCCAGAAATAAAGGTCGAATGGAATAAACTAAAGGTTAACAGAAGTTATAAAATAGACAAAAAATGTTACATTTAATGTAATGTTAAATTACATTGAGAAATGAGAGCATTATAATAATAAATTATTTTGAAGATATACACTTAAATTTTTTAGCTGAGTACCCCAAAGTATGGAAGAAGGTAATGAATTCATTATTTATTGGGCATAAAATATAATATTTTATGAATGGTGGAAAACCTACGAGGAGGTTTATTTTTCAAAATGGCCGCCGTTGTCATAGTTACCAAGATTTCCCCACCAATTTCTTTAGTGGAAATGCATATGCGGATGTATTTTAATAAAGCTGTAAAGAAATAACTGTTTTCTAACGAGTATTAAAAAAGTTTTTTTTTACCGGAGCCTCCTTGATAAAAATTTTACTTATCAAGACGAAAACATTGACTACGGCTAAATTCCAAGGAATTCACAACTCAAATGTTTAATGGGTGAAACTTCGGGGCGGGGAGACAGTTGGGGGACATGTCGGGTGTGTGAGGGGTGGGGGGGTAGATGCCATGCTCTGCAATAGAGTTTCATCCGGTTTTGTATTGCCGTGTGGGACAGCGGTAACGCCTTTATTTATAGGCTTCTTCTCTCTTGGCCTGTTTGGCAATTCACGTGGGGCAATTAATACGGGTGAGAGTGTGCCTTGAACAAGAAATGTTTCGCATTTTTAAAAATCTCTAAGCCACTCGATCAAAAGGTCAAAAAAACAGTTCTACATCGGTCCGTGTCTAACCATTCACTTCGCTATGTCAGTCCCTCCCTACAACTGGGACGTTTTTTTCCCAAATTTAACACCCATGTAACACATACTCTCAAAACAAATCGTCTACCGTCAAGTTTACATCGTCCTTGTTAGTCTCTACAAGTCTAGTCTTATTTTTATCTATCTACACTATGACAATACGCAAACGACCCCTCATACAAATACCCCCACTCCCACCCTCCCTCATCCTCGACACTATGTGTTATTAAATGGTTTTCAAAACCATAGAGTATCTGATGGATCTCGTGATGCTTGTTAATACTTGGTGAAATTTTAACTCATACTTCTGACATTAAAAAATTAATTTAACTAAGCTATTAAAAAAAAACAATGATAAAGTAATATTTGCTATAGTTGAGAAATCAAAATTTGGGGGCCCTAAAATTCGGGGGCCCCTGGCTGCAGCCCTTTCAGCACCCCCCCCCCTTAATCCGCCACTGCCTATATATAGTTTACATCTTAGTTCATAATTTATTAATCAACATATTACCTACCCAAAAATAAATAAAAATATTTCTCATTCTAAACCTATCATCGAGTATCTTGTTTTGTTTTGCTTTTATCAATATCGTACACTTAACACTTTGATTTTTTAGAACAAATAGTGTCTGATCATTGAGTTAGTCAAATAAAATATCCAAGAGAGGGTTAGTTATCATTGACTGTTATTGATTTTATCATTGAACCTTAGGGGTCGTCTATAAATGACGTCACACTCGTAGGGGGGAGGGGGGGGGGTCCGTAATTTTGTGACGGTGTGTGATGAGGGGGGGGGGGGGTCAGATGGATCGACGTCACACTTTTGCATAATAAAAAAGCAATTTTAGAAAACATTTTTTAGACGTTATTGTGCGTTTTAGAAAACTGTTTTTATAAATTGTAATAGGAATTGATTAAAATACTCTATTTTGACAGAGTTTAGACAAGATTTGGGGAAAATATCGATGTTAAAAAAAAATTAAACTGCAATTTTGAAGGGGGTTGTGGGATGAGGTGTGACGTCATTTTAGGGGGGGTCTGGCTTTTTTGTGACCATGTGTGACGGAGGAGAGGGGGAGGGAGGTAAAAATCGTCCAAAAAAGCGTGACGTCATTTATGGATGACCCCTTACAGAAATCAGTGTTTGATCGGCTGCTCATTCTCACTCTCGTTCTTGTGCCCATTCTTATCCCCATCATTATCCCCATCATTATCCCCATCATTATCCCCATCATTATATTAAACCTTATCTCGATACTAAACGTTATCCTAGTCCCTAACAAGTTTTTTTTCCTAACGTCTTGCATACTCTATCCCTATATCCCTAGAGTCCCCTATATAATATATCCCTATATCCCTAGAGTCCCCTATATAATATATCCCTATATTTTCCTTATCACTATCAATAACTTATCTCTTTTACGATAATTGACCAGAGGGGGGGGGGGGGGTGCTCCTACTGTTTTGTGATATAGGGTAATTTCTGGGGGGGGGGGGTAATTTACGTGAATAAATTGCTTCGAGGTATGATAAATGGGGGTGATTATCCGGAGGAGGGAGTGGGGTAATGTCTATCTTTGGGAGTGGGGTAATGTCTATCTTTGGGAGTGGGGTAATGTCTATCTTTGGGAGTGGGGTAATGTCTATCTTTGGGAGTGGGGTAATGTCTATCTTTCCTTCCACAATCAGTTCATACCTGGGGTTAGGGAAGCAACACAGACTGGCAGAGTTGAATTGAAATCGTTTAGAATTTGCGCACCAGTTGCTGGTATAGCACCGGTGCGGTGTGGCTTGGTATGTTCGATTGGAACCCTAGAGCAACGAAGAACGTAAATATCAAGCCCATAGTTTAGTCCGGACAAGATGAAGAAGGTGTTGAAAGTTACAATCTGCCCTCATCCCACCACCTTCTAAGCTTGGGGCTTCATCCATGAAGGTCGTCAGTGAAACATGCTTTTATCGCGACTACACAAATGGCTCAGTTCACAAAAACGGAAACGAAAGTACCCAGTAGAAGAACTAGGGGTAGGAAGATCTTTAAATAGATTATACTTTAGTTCATAATGGGATCCTACGGTTTCATAACCCAATACAACTGTTATTGGCCACTAATAGAACAGATACTGGCCACACATAGAACATATACTGGCCACACATAGAACATATACTGGCCACACATAGAACAGATACTGGCCACACATAGAACATATACTGGCCACACATAGAACAGATACTGGCCACACATAGAACATATATTGGCCACACATAGAACAGATACTGGCCACACATAGAACATATACTGGCCACACATAGAACATATACTGGCCACACATAGAACATATACTGGCCACACATACGACTGCTATTGACCACACATAGAACAGAAACTGGCCACACATAGAACATATATTGGCCACACATAGAACATATACTGGCCACACATAGAACATATACTGGCCACATATACGACTGCTATTGACCACACATAGAACATATACTGGCCACACATAGAACATATATTGGCCACACATAGAACATATACTTGCCACACATAGAACATATACTGGCCACACATAGAACATATATTGGCCACACATAGAACATATACTGGCCACACATAGAACATATACTGGCCACACATACGACTGCTATTGACCACACATAGAACATATACTGGCCACACATAGAACATATATTGGCCACACATAGAACATATACTGGCCACACATAGAACATATACTGGCCACACATAGAACATATACTGGCCACATATACGACTGCTATTGACCACACATAGAACAGATACTGGCCACACATAGAACAGATACTGGCCACACATAGAACAGATACTGGCCACACATAGAACATATACTGGCCACACATAGAACATATACTGGCCACACATAGAACATATATTGGCCACACATAGAACATATACTGGCCACACATAGAACATATACTGGCCACACATACGACTGCTATTGACCACACATAGAACATATACTGGCCACACATAGAACATATATTGGCCACACATACGACTGCTATTGACCACACATAGAACAGATACTGGCCACACATAGAACATATATTGGCCACACATAGAACATATACTGGCCACACATAGAACAGATACTGGCCACACATAGAACATATACTGACCACACATAGAACATATACTGGCCACACATAGAACATATACTGGCCACACATAGAACATATACTGGCCACACATAGAACACATACTGGCCACACATACGACTGCTATTGGCCACACATAGAACATATACTGGCCACACATAGAACATATACTGGCCACACATAGAACATATACTGGCCACACATAGAACATATACTGACCACACATAGAACATATACTGGCCACACATAGAACATATACTGGCCACACATAGAACATATACTGGCCACACATAGAACATATACTGGCCACACATAGAACATATACTGGCCACACATAGAACATATACTGGCCACACATAGAACATATACTGGCCACACATAGAACATATACTGGCCACACATAGAACATATACTGGCCACACATAGAACATATACTGGCCACACATAGAACATATACTGGCCACACATACATGATATTGAACTCACGTTTAAACTCCAGGTATGTCGTTTCAAATTCTATAAAATAAACAACTACTTAACCCGCGCTAATCGTTTAAGAGTTCATACTGGGTGTATTATCCTAATCCTAATCCAATGTGACGATGTTAATCCTTCTTGACCACAGTCCAGGTGTTCCCAGGAAAAAATGTCTAACTTATCTAAACAGTTGGAGAGACTCCCGACCATGTTTGTCAAGGACTGTGGCTACATTCCAGTGTAGGTTGTTTATGTTCTTTTCTTGTCTGTTTTATGTTCTTTTCTTGTCTGTTTTATGTTCTTTTCTTGTCTGTTTTATGTTCTTTTCTTGTCTGTTTTATGTTCTTTTCTTGTCTGTTTTATGTTCTTTTCTTGTCTGTTTTATGTTCTTTTCTTGTATGTTTTTTTGCTAATGTGTTGTTCGCTGTGTTGTCTTCTCTATGCTAGAATTGTGCTTGGATAAAGCTAATTCATTGACTGTCTTCCTTCTAGACTACTTGGTGTCTGTGTGTAACCCTAACCCTAACGTTATTAGTTCCTTGTGTATGTCTGAGTTTATTAGTTTCTTTTTGGAATTGACTATGTTTGTAGTTGTTAAACCATAACCTTAACCCTAACCCTTAACCTAACTTTAATCTGTCCTAGAGTACTCACGAATGCCGCATCAATTATAGAGAAAAATCTAAAGGTCAAGGATCTTTTTCAGACACAGGGAGTCGCTGCTCGAGTGAATCAAACAATTGTAAGTTAAGCTTAACCGTAAACCTAACCCTAACCTTAACCTAACCATAATCCTAACCGTAAACCTAACCTTAACCGTAATACTAACCCTAACCTGAACCGTAAACCTAAACCTAACCTTAACCGTAAAGCTAACCGTAAACGTAAACCTAAACCGAAACTTAGCCGTAAACCTAACCCTAACCGTAACCCTAACCCCAACCTTAACAGTAAACCTAACGCAAGTAGTTCAGAGTTGAGCTCAAACTTTCGTTTTTCTCAAAATTTCGTTTTTCTAGGAAACTTAACTAAAAACTGTAAACAATCTACAGACACTTGTGTTGGTCGACACATCGATTGACATCACATTCTGCAGCATTTTAATCCATACACTACTGAACTCGTGTTAAATAAAGAAAGCATTTCTGTATTGTCTCTAAGTTTGCAAGATGTTTTAGCATTCTAAAAAAAGCATTGCGATACATTTTAATGATTGAAAACGACAAGACGGAAAAAAAGAGAGGTGTTAAGTTCAACCAGAGTTTCTTCCAGGCATCTCTCTCCCCCCCCCCCCAAGAAAGTCTACCGCCCCTCCCCCGGCCAGGAAATTTTAGTCCCCTCCCCCCCCCCCGGAAATTTCAAGTGCCCCCCCCCCCCCACCCGGAGAAAAAAGTCGGAAAGAAACACTGAGTTCTACTCAACTGTATATTCTATTTGATTTTATGTCAAGTTATTGAGAAAGTTGCATACATAGATTATACCTTTATAAACTATACCTTTATAGATTATACCTGTATAGACTATACCATTATATATATATATATATATATATATATATATATATATATATATATATATATATATATATATATATATATATATATATATATATATATAAATATATATATATATTTATATATTGTTTAAATTGAGTAATTAATTTTGTAAAAGCACACTACATACACAATCGCAAATGATGTAGCACTTTTATTTAAATTTAATAAGGGGGGGGGGTGGTGCATTATAGAAGGTCAACATTCGTCGGGCGAGGAAGATGTTGAAAATGTTTTGAGATCGCCAACAAACAGCATCGAATTGTATCAAAACTTGAAACGTATTTTTTTTTCATGATGCAAGCTTCAGCACCAAGTCCAGAATTCAAATGTAAAAATCACAATTGAAATATCACGTGGCAAATATCACGTGGCAAATATCACGTGGCAGTTAGGGATCCATGCCCTAGCCTATATTTCCTGACCTTTATGTTGGGATAACTCTGCTAGCCTACACCTTGTGCATATTTTGTGTCAAAAGATTTTAGCCAACGTATGCTAATCACTTGCATAAAAAGACATTTTTACCAAGGAAAACAAACTATGAAACAAATCTGAACTTGATGTTAACCCTTTAATCCACAGTCTCAACTCAACGCTACTCGGGTATCTAGGGTTAAGAATGCAACAGTGCATGACGTCATAGAAGCTATGAAAACATTTCTCGTCCACCTGCCGGAACCTTTACTGCCGGAGAATGTCTGCGATTCTTTGATCACAGCATGCTGTGATGACGTCAAGTACAGCGCAGTCTTGGCTGAGTTCCATCGTGTGTCTCCACACAACTTCGCCATCGTCCTCTTTATGATGAGGTTGTTAAAGAAGGTATGACGTCATCTTTATGATGAGGTTGTTAAAGAAGGTATGACGTCATCTTTATGATGAGGTTGTTAAAGAAGGTATGACGTCCTCTTTATGATGAGGTTGTTAAAGAAGGTATGACGTCATCTTTATGATGAGGTTGTTAAAGAAGGTATGACGTCATCTTTATGATGAGGTTGTTAAAGGAGGTATGACGTCATCTTTATGATGAGGTTGTTAAAGAAGGTATGACGTCTGGCGATGTTGTATTCCAACCCAATGTCTGGCATTTGTCTGGCATTTGTCTGTAGGTCTCCCAGCACGCTGACCAGAACAGCATGGACGTCAGGAAACTGGCAACAATTTTCGTCCTTGACGTCATCAATCCCATGAAGCTGGAGGATCCCAGTCACGTAAGTTTGACCTTTAACCTCAGCCCTCATTGGCCTGTTATCTTTAGGATCCCAGTCACGTAAGTTTGAACTTTAACCTCAGCCCTCATTGGCCTGTTATCTTTAGGATCCCAGTCACGTAAGTTTGACCTTTAACCTCAGCCCTCATTGGCCTGTTATCTTTAGGATCCCAGTCACGTAAGTTTGAACTTTAACCTCAGCCCTCATTGGCCTGTTATCTTTAGGATCCCAGTCACGTAAGTTTGACCTTTAACCTCAGCCCTCATTGGCCTGTTATCTTTAGGATCCCAGTCACGTAAGTTTGACCTTTAACCTCAGCCCTCATTGGCCTGTTATCTTTAGGATCCCAGTCACGTAAGTTTGAACTTTAACCTCAGCCCTCATTGGCCTGTTATCTTTAGGATCCCAGTCACGTAAGTTTGACCTTTAACCTCAGCCCTCATTGGCCTGTTATCTTTAGGATCCCAGTCACCTAAGTTTGAACTTTAACCTCAGCCCTCATTGGCCTGTTATCTTTAGGATCCCAGTCACGTAAGTTTGACCTTTAACCTCAGCCCTCATTGGCCTGTTATCTTTAGGATCCCAGTCACGTAAGTTTGAACTTTAACCTCAGCCCTCATTGGCCTGTTATCTTTAGGATCCCAGTCACGTAAGTTTGACCTTTAACCTCAGCCCTCATTGGCCTGTTATCTTTAGGATCCCAGTCACGTAAGTTTGAACTTTAACCTCAGCCCTCATTGGCCTGTTATCTTTAGGATCCCAGTCACGTAAGTTTGAACTTTAACCTCAGCCCTCATTGGCCTGTTATCTTTAGGATCCCAGTCACGTAAGTTTGACCTTTAACCTCAGCCCTCATTGGCCTGTTATCTTTAGGATCCCAGTCACGTAAGTTTGACCTTTAACCTCAGCCCTCATTGGCCTGTTATCTTTAGGATCCCAGTCACGTAAGTTTGACCTTTAACCTCAGCCCTCATTGGCCTGTTATCTTTAGGATCCCAGTCACGTAAGTTTGACCTTTAACCTCAGCCCTCATTGGCCTGTTATCTTTAGGATCCCAGTCACGTAAGTTTGAACTTTAACCTCAGCCCTCATTGGCCTGTTATCTTTAGGATCCCAGTCACGTAAGTTTGACCTTTAACCTCAGCCCTCATTGGCCTGTTATCTTTAGGATCCCAGTCACGTAAGTTTGACCTTTAACCTTAGCCCTCATTGGCCTGTTATCTTTAGGATCCCAGTCACGTAAGTTTGACCTTTAACCTCAGCCCTCATTGGCCTGTTATCTTTAGGATCCCAGTCACGTAAGTTTGACCTTTAACCTCAGCCCTCATTGGCCTGTTATCTTTAGGATCCCAGTCACGTAAGTTTGAACTTTAACCTCAGCCCTCATTGGCCTGTTATCTTTAGGATCCCAGTCACGTAAGTTTGAACTTTAACCTCAGCCCTCATTGGCCTGTTATCTTTAGGATCCCAGTCACGTAAGTTTGACCTTTAACCTCAGCCCTCATTGGCCTGTTATCTTTAGAACCTCAGCCCTCATTGGCCTGTTATCTTTAGGATCCCAGTCACGTAAGTTTGAACTTTAACCTCAGCCCTCATTGGCCTGTTATCTTTAGGATCCCAGTCACGTAAGTTTGAACTTTAACCTCAGCCCTCATTGGCCTGTTATCTTTAGGATCCCAGTCACGTAAGTTTGAACTTTAACCTCAGCCCTCATTGGCCTGTTATCTTTAGGATCCCAGTCACGTGAGTTTGAACTTTAACCTCAGCCCTCATTGGCCTGTTATCTTTAGGATCCCAGTCACGTAAGTTTGAACTTTAACCTCAGCCCTCATTGGCCTGTTATCTTTAGGATCCCAGTCACGTAAGTTTGAACTTTAACCTCAGCCCTCATTGGCCTGTTATCTTTAGGATCCCAGTCACGTAAGTTTGAACTTTAACCTCAGCCCTCATTGGCCTGTTATCTTTAGGATCCCAGTCACGTAAGTTTGACCTTTAACCTCAGCCCTCATTGGCCTGTTATCTTTAGAACCTCAGCCCTCATTGGCCTGTTATCTTTAGAATCCCAGTCACGTAAGTTTGACCTTTAACCTCAGCCCTCATTGGCCTGTTATCTTTAGGATCCCAGTCACGTAAGTTTGACCTTTAACCTCAGCCCTCATTGGCCTGTTATCTTTAGGATCCCAGTCACGTAAGTTTGACCTTTAACCTCAGCCCTCATTGGCCTGTTATCTTTAGGATCCCAGTCACGTAAGTTTGACCTTTAACCTCAGCCCTCATTGGCCTGTTATCTTTAGGATCCCAGTCACGTAAGTTTGACCTTTAACCTCAGCCCTCATTGGCCTGTTATCTTTAGAACCTCAGCCCTCATTGGCCTGTTATCTTTAGGATCCCAGTCACGTAAGTTTGAACTTTAACCTCAGCCCTCATTGGCCTGTTATCTTTAGGATCCCAGTCACGTAAGTTTGAACTTTAACCTCAGCCCTCATTGGCCTGTTATCTTTAGGATCCCAGTCACGTAAGTTTGAACTTTAACCTCAGCCCTCATTGGCCTGTTATCTTTAGGATCCCAGTCACGTGAGTTTGAACTTTAACCTCAGCCCTCATTGGCCTGTTATCTTTAGGATCCCAGTCACGTAAGTTTGAACTTTAACCTCAGCCCTCATTGGCCTGTTATCTTTAGGATCCCAGTCACGTAAGTTTGAACTTTAACCTCAGCCCTCATTGGCCTGTTATCTTTAGGATCCCAGTCACGTAAGTTTGAACTTTAACCTCAGCCCTCATTGGCCTGTTATCTTTAGGATCCCAGTCACGTAAGTTTGACCTTTAACCTCAGCCCTCATTGGCCTGTTATCTTTAGAACCTCAGCCCTCATTGGCCTGTTATCTTTAGGATCCCAGTCACGTAAGTTTGACCTTTAACCTCAGCCCTCATTGGCCTGTTATCTTTAGGATCCCAGTCACGTAAGTTTGACCTTTAACCTCAGCCCTCATTGGCCTGTTATCTTTAGGATCCCAGTCACGTAAGTTTGACCTTTAACCTCAGCCCTCATTGGCCTGTTATCTTTAGGATCCCAGTCACGTAAGTTTGACCTTTAACCTCAGCCCTCATTGGCCTGTTATCTTTAGGATCCCAGTCACGTAAGTTTGAACTTTAACCTCAGCCCTCATTGGCCTGTTATCTTTAGGATCCCAGTCACGTAAGTTTGAACTTTAACCTCAGCCCTCATTGGCCTGTTATCTTTAGGATCCCAGTCACGTAAGTTTGACCTTTAACCTCAGCCCTCATTGGCCTGTTATCTTTAGAACCTCAGCCCTCATTGGCCTGTTATCTTTAGGATCCCAGTCACGTAAGTTTGAACTTTAACCTCAGCCCTCATTGGCCTGTTATCTTTAGGATCCCAGTCACGTAAGTTTGAACTTTAACCTCAGCCCTCATTGGCCTGTTATCTTTAGGATCCCAGTCACGTAAGTTTGAACTTTAACCTCAGCCCTCATTGGCCTGTTATCTTTAGGATCCCAGTCACGTGAGTTTGAACTTTAACCTCAGCCCTCATTGGCCTGTTATCTTTAGGATCCCAGTCACGTAAGTTTGACCTTTAACCTCAGCCCTCATTGGCCTGTTATCTTTAGGATCCCAGTCACGTAAGTTTGACCTTTAACCTCAGCCCTCATTGGCCTGTTATCTTTAGAACCTCAGCCCTCATTGGCCTGTTATCTTTAGGATCCCAGTCACGTAAGTTTGAACTTTAACCTCAGCCCTCATTGGCCTGTTATCTTTAGGATCCCAGTCACGTAAGTTTGAACTTTAACCTCAGCCCTCATTGGCCTGTTATCTTTAGGATCCCAGTCACGTAAGTTTGAACTTTAACCTCAGCCCTCATTGGCCTGTTATCTTTAGGATCCCAGTCACGTGAGTTTGAACTTTAACCTCAGCCCTCATTGGCCTGTTATCTTTAGGATCCCAGTCACGTAAGTTTGAACTTTAACCTCAGCCCTCATTGGCCTGTTATCTTTAGGATCCCAGTCACGTAAGTTTGACCTTTAACCTCAGCCCTCATTGGCCTGTTATCTTTAGGATCCCAGTCACGTAAGTTTGACCTTTAACCTCAGCCCTCATTGGCCTGTTATCTTTAGGATCCCAGTCACGTAAGTTTGACCTTTAACCTTAGCCCTCATTGGCCTGTTATCTTTAGGATCCCAGTCACGTAAGTTTGACATTTAACCTCAGCCCTCATTGGCCTGTTATCTTTAGGATCCCAGTCACGTAAGTTTGACCTTTAACCTCAGCCCTCATTGGCCTGTTATCTTTAGGATCCCAGTCACGTAAGTTTGACCTTTAACCTCAGCCCTCATTGGCCTGTTATCTTTAGGATCCCAGTCACGTGAGTTTGAACTTTAACCTCAGCCCTCATTGGCCTGTTATCTTTAGGATCCCAGTCACGTAAGTTTGACCTTTAACCTCAGCCCTCATTGGCCTGTTATCTTTAGGATCCCAGTCACGTGAGTTTGAACTTTAACCTCAGCCCTCATTGGCCTGTTATCTTTAGGATCCCAGTCACGTAAGTTTGAACTTTAACCTTAGCCCTCATTGGCCTGTTATCTTTAAGGCTAATATGAAATGAACTCTTACAAATGTTCCGAGAACTGTCACAAATCATGGTGATCTTGTTCACCCAAACTACCCTTCAATTGATTTAGCTGTACTTTATATCGTGCGTTGACCTTTGACCAACGGTGCTTTGTCTACATTGGCCGTTTGTTCACAAGTACTTTGTTCATATTTGCTAAGAATTAAATAAACTTAGGTCACAAAGTTGCGTCATTGTATTTTAAGAAGCAGCATGATGTAATAATATGATTATTCAGCAAATCATCTAGAACACTCACGACTTAACCATGGAGAGTCTTGGAGAATCTTGGAGAGTATACCACGTCAAAATTGGTTAAATGATTTGATTGTATCGTGAACATCAATTTTGATTTCAAAGAGAACTCCAGAAA